GCTCTGGTGAGACCTGTACGCAGCCCTGGTGAGATCTGTACGCAGCTCTGGTGAGACCTGTACGCAGCTCTGATGAGACTTGAACCCAGCCCTGGTGAGACCTGTACACAGCCCTCGTGAGATCTGTACGCAGCCTGCAGAGTAACTGCCCTAAAATCATTAGTCTGTATTGTTATTGGAGAGTACCTGAGGGAAAGTACTTGTACTTGGTCTTGAAAAAATGGTATGGGGACATCCCTAGTTTGAACCTAACCAGAGCTTTAATCCATTTCAGGTATATGGAAAATGTTGGGTTGTCAGTAAAACTGGCCATATGCTGCTCGGATTTTAGCTGAGAATCGCTGACTTGGCCAAATTTCAAGCTGTCGTTTTTGGCTTGTGCAGCTGAAATGCAATTCCATAAAAGCAGAACACATGCTGCCTTCTGGAAGTAACTTTTACTAACCTAATCATAAAATATAATGGGCGGGGCGTGTACAAAAGAGCATCATCCTTAAAATGTGCCTAGGGCAAGTGTGACGTGGGTGTGGCTTATCTAAAGTGGGCATGGCTTAACAGGAGTGCTTTAGTTATAATGAGCATGGAGCCGTGTAAAACAGAGCCAGGTTTCCATTAACATCATTGGAAATACATATTTCTGCAGCCAAATTAGGATAACACTAATTTTCATGTTTGTTACATGTTCTCATTCACATAACATCAAAGAAAAACATGTTTTATGTGATTTATACTTGATTCAAATCCTATCAAGTTTCCCCCCCTATGTAATGTTAAAAAGGGGGCTGTGGGAAGTTACATTTCCTCTAATTTGACAATCCACTGATTGCCATTCAGCTGAATCCTGCTGACCTAGCCAAAAATTGCACCAGTGTGTGGCCCTGTTGGCACCCCTCTACTCAACAAAAGTCGATTTTCTATCAACTTTTGTCAAAAGGAGTTGGTCCAAAAATTTTCCGCAAAGCAGTGACTGCAACCAATCCGATGCAGACAATGTCCGGGAATTCAGCACCCTCTGGAGTATTGCAAAAAATAATAATATATGTACATTTTGCAATATGGGTGCATTTATTCATAATTTGCAAAAAGTGGACTGTGCCTTTAACATGACCAGAGTACAAATCACTTCATTTAAGGTAGACAATCTGAACCTTCTGCCTATAAGTAGTAGGGTATTGTGCCGTGTTAGCTATCAATCATTGCAGAAAGTTTGGGGTTTAAGTGACGCCCTTTATTGGCTAACTTAAAGGAGAACTATGGGGTTAGGGTTTTTCCCCATAGTTCTCCTTAGGCTAACGGGAGGACACAAACTAGCGTCCTCCCGTCACCCTAAGCTCAGTATACCGCGAACTACAGCTCACGGCAGCTGAAACGGATCCCGACAATTATGTCTGGATCTGCCCAGCTGCGTGAGTGACTGCTGGCTCTGCCTATCTAGAGGCAGAGCCAGCTGTACCCACCCCCTCCCCCATCTGCTCCGCCAGTCAGCGCTGGAGGATCGGAGGGGGGAATCCAGTCCCTCTCCTGTCACGGCAGAGAGCCGTGACATGATCGAGAAGTGAGCGAACGCCGGTATGTGTTCGTTCACTTCCCGATCTACTGACAGTCTCATTGTCACTGGTCGGCTAGAACTATGAGGTGAGTGAAAATCACTCACCTCATAGTTCTCCTTTAACTTATTAAAGATGAAAGCTTTCAGGATTCCTTAGGTTCTCAACCTGTGGGTCTCGTCCCAAAAATGGTTCGCAACCCCCTGTTTATTTGGTCGCCATGGGCCTTCTGCTGCGCTAGGTGAGAGGCTGCTCAGCCTCCTCTTAGCGCAGCAGTGTTAGTTCTCCCATCGCGCCACCAGATGTCGCTGCAGCAGCCACGGCCGGGGAGGACTAGAGAGCAGACATTTTTTTCCACATTTAGCCCTGTTTTGGGCAAGCAGGGCTAAATGCACAGCAGGGGGGGTGTCAAGTGATTTTGGCAGCTGTACAGCCACCAATATCACTTGTAATTGGTCTGCTGTTCCATCCCCACCCCC